ATATATATATATATATGTGTGTGTGTGTGTGTGTGTGTGTACATGTTTGTAAACACCTGCCAGATCTCCTGAAGGTAGTTATAGGTGGTTGGTTGTAAGCTGCCAAACATGTGTCCTGAGAACCCAAACTAAATTCAGGTCCTCTGGAAAAACAGCAAACACTCTTAGCCACTGTGCCATCTCTCTAGCCCATATTCTGATTTTTAAAATTCCTATTTAGTCCATTTCTTCACTCTCATTTTTACCTTCCATTAAAACATACTTGAGGGACTGGAGAGATGGCTCAGCGGTTAAGAGCACTGACTGCTCTTCCAGAGGTCCTGAGTTCAATTCCCAGCAACCATATGGTGGCTCACAACCATCTGTAATGGGATCTGATGCCCTCTTCTGGTGTGTCTGAAGACAGCTACAGTGTACTCACATAAACAATTAAAGACACACAGAGTAGAGCATGGTGACACATGGTTGTAACCAGGGCCCCGGAGACAGAGGCAGGAGAACCCATTTGAAAACAGACATGAATAGTAGCAGCAGCAGGGCACGGCACTGCATACCTTCACTACCACAAAGATGTCTGTAAGTTCCAGGCTGGCCTGGGCTACATGAGAGCCTGTCTAAAATAAGAAGGAAAGAGATGGAGATGCACTTAGAGAATAGAGTAAAATGTGCTAGACCTTTAAAGGAATTAAGGAATACTGAGATAACCTGTATTAAGTTTTTGAATAGAGACTTCTAAATTACCCAAGCAAAAGCATTTGCATGGGAAAACTACTAAACATGTTCCTTAGTTTCCTTAATACTAATTTACCCTAATCTACCACCTTAAAGCAATCTACCACCTTAAAACAATCAGCTTCTGACTTGGGCAGGTGGCTTACAGTGGAGGTCTAGACTGCAGAACGTCAGAAGCAAATGCTGGCTGGGTATGGTGACTGCTTGTAACTCCAGTTTTGGAAGGTAGAGACTAGGGATCCTTAGAACAAGCTCTAGCCCAACTGAGAGCTAGATGGATTATGGGTGTGTGTGTATTTGTTATTTGTTTATTTTTGATTGCGTGTATATATATATGTATCATGTTCTTGTGTGGGCACATGGGTAGAGGTCAGAGGACAATCGCAGCAGCCAGCTCTATCACTTGGCTTCTAAGGACTAAACTCAGAATCAGGTATGGTGGCAGGTATCTATCTACTCAATGAGTAACAGCTAACAGATATAAGAAAGGTTTCTAAATGCTGCAGTCTGAGCCTGTGGTGAACTTTTTATGTGAAATGCAGCCAAAAGGAGACCTAACAAACTCCTATTCAGTGAAGAAAGCAGTTTACAAATTTTAAGCGTACCTGGATTTTGATCTTGATCGAGAATGGGATTCAGAATGTTTGGAAACCCTTGATGGACTACGAGATCCTGACCTGCTCTCTGATTTTACACGAGCAGGAGTTCCCGTTGGAGACTTTGACTGAGAGCGAGACTCCTAACAAAGAAGACAGTGTTACAAATGGCACTGGTCATGCAGATGCCTAACACCTAACATTTAAAGTACCGTAATTATTTATATTGATTGCTCCTGAAAAACAAATGGTTAGGCAACACCCTCCAGAAAAAAATTTCAGCTCATTAATATCCCACTGTTAATACTGCTAACTATCCTCAATAATTCCCTACTTGAACCAGATCACCAATTTTCTATTAACTAAGTAATCATGCAAATTCATCTACAACTTGATCATACAGACACTGGAACATAAACCATACATTTACTTAACCTAGGACCCATTCATTCTTCCAGATTCTTTTAATTCTACTTCACTCTTGCTTTCTACTTCTCTTCATTCTTCATTGAGTTTTTCATTTTTCATACTTCGTGTATTCTTCCCCAATTCAAACAATTCAAAATAGCCTTAAAAAAATATTCAAGTGCTTCTATCTGACCAATCTTCTGTTCAATTTTTTCCCCCATTCAATTTTAATTTTCTGATCTTTAATACTTTTCATTAGCCTTCTTTTATCTTGATTTATCTTCCACATTCTTGGAAAAAACTCTTCAATTTCTTCACGAACATTAACCTTAATGGAAAAAGAACATTTAGTATATTTAAGCACGTGGGGATTATAAAACTCTGCTGGAGTTCAGAATGTTATCTACCAAATGGGAAGGCCAGCAGGTAAAGTGCAAATAACTAGTTTATTTAAAAATAAATTAAAAAAAAAAAAAAAAAACAAATTTTATAGTATTTAAAAATGTTCAAAAGTGTAGTCTAACAGAATTTACTGAATTTCTTTCAAGTTTTTAACCATACTCCTTACCCTCCTCCCCTTTCATGTTCCATTCTAGTCCCTAATTTTAATATAAATATGTAATTCAAACATTGAAACTGCAACACCCCCCACCTAAATATTCATTTTCCACTATTTTATAGGCTGAAGGCTCTTACTAATCTTAGAATTAACTTTCAAAAAGCCACACTAAAGAAATTCAGGCACTGCTGAAGCAAAGCATCCCAGGCTAAAATAGCTATATCACCATCTGAATTCATATGACACCACACATGCCAGAAATCAAAAAGATACAACAAATAGTAAAATTACACCTTCTCCCAATTTTGACTACCACCTTCAGTTATTGTGATTAACCAGAAAGATGTATTGTGAAGCAAGTACAGAAAAACTAAAAAGAACGAAGTTTCTAACAGTCCTGACTTTGGCTTATAAATTCCTGAAATACATGCTATTCCTGTCTATGAGATACATTTGCATTTAATAACCCAGGATAGACTATAGTTCATAGAAATTCTCCTGCCTCAACCTTCCAAGTGTTGGGATCACAGAAATCTCTCTGGCTCTTGTACCACTTAAATACCACAGGGTACAAGTAAGAAAATGTGTATCATGATGGTTGCCTGCTTTGGCATTTATGTACATTTGCACTCCTTGCAGGGGCATCTCATCTCTTGACAAGAAACATCCATCCCCTTCGTGACAAATTGGTTTTTGAAAAGTTCTATGTAAAAACTTACCAAATAACTTATAATTGACTAAAAAGCATGGTAACTTGACTGATGAGGCCCACACAACCAAAATAGAAATCAATATTTGGTTTCACCATCCACTTAAAGACTTGGTTATTAATGCAAAAAATTAGCCCAATCTTACAAAGGTATAATATTCATACCAGCTTTCATTTATGCAGAAGGATATCCCACATCTCCTGCATTTATCTCCCAAGTATATATTGGCATGCACAACCAAACTTGGCTTTATGTAGTGCTGGGACTGAACCAGGACCTAGTGCTGGGTAAACACCCTATCAGCTGAGCTATAGCCCTGGCCCCTTTTCTTAGCTTAATATAAAAAGATTATTCTAACAAGAACTCCACTCATTATTTTCCTGGTCAATGACATTTCCATTTAGTTACCCAGTGTTAAGTCTTTCATATCTTAGACTCTTAAATGCCTAAACAGAAGGCAGGAGCAACATATTACTTATAGAAAAAGAAAATTATTAATTTTGCTTGTAACTGAAGTCTCAGGAGCTAGTTCAAAATCTGAACCAAGACAATGTTTTCTTGTTACCTTTCCTTTCTATAAAACACAACCTTCAGGCTGGAGAGATGGCTCAAGTTAAGAGCACTGAATGCCCTTCCAGAGGACCAGGGTTTAATTACTAGCACCCACATGGCAGCTCACAACTGTCTGTAACTCCAGGATCTGAAATCCTCACACAAACACACGTGCAGGCAAAACAGTAATGTGAATAAATATAAATAAATAAAAAATTTATTATAAGCAACAACAAAAAGGCCCTCAGGTATATAACCTTTGTTTTGGTTGCTGTAAAGAGCAGTGTCATGACAGCATTTATGTCAGCACCACAGCCTTTGTTATACAATTAATTAGGCAACAGAGGGTCTTGCTCTGAGGTACTAGAAACCTTTAGCTTTATTATGATTAAAAAGAAAAAAAAATCCTAAAATAAAGCATAGATTTACTCTTAAATGACTAATTATTTTGGTTTTTCCAGACAGGGTTTCTCTGTATGGCCCTGGCTGACCTGGAACTCACTCTGTAGACCAGGCTGGCCTCGAACTCAGAAATCCACCTGCCTCTGCCTCCCAAGTGCTGGGATTAAAGGACATTTTTTAATTTTCAAGCTTCTCCTCATAAGAACTGTTACTAAAAAATGATATCGTTCAAAAAGTTACATTTAATTTCTATTTTGTGCACATGTGGACAAAGAGCAACTTGTTAAGAGTCCACTGGTACTCGAAATCCAGGCTGTGAGGTACCGCAGCAAATGCCTCTTACCCACTGAACTATCTTGCTGGCCTCCAAAATTTCTTCTGGAGACTTAAATAACTCAGGAAAAAAAAAAATTAAATTTAAACTTAAGCCCCAGATCTTGAGTAGCAACAAAGTATCACTGCATAGCAGAATGTCTTTTAAAAGAAAACATTTTGAAGGAGTTCTCTTTCTTCAGGCAGTGCTAAGAATTGAAGCCCTAACTGTCCTATACTAAGTGAGCACTATAACACTGACTTATATACCCAGTTCAAAAGCAGTATTTTGACAAGCATGGGGGATCACAACTGGCCTATTTTAAATTAAAAAACAAACAAACAAACCGTTAAGACTATTTAGAATTTGGGAACTTAAATTACAATGAAGAAAAAAAAAATTAAATGCTGGAAAGAGTTGGTCATCTGTCTTGTCCCACTAGACTAACCAGCTCTTAAGGCTGTCTTACTGAAGGGATGTTAACAATTCCTTAGTACCCTGGCTTCAAACAACCCTTTACAATATGTTGCCCAGCTGAATGAAACATGTAAAAGGAGTCATACTGACCCATATCACAGATTACAAAGGAAACACTAAATAGGCTTCAATCTAACTTAGATACTACAAACCACAAAGAAGCCAGGCAGAAGGCTAAGCACAACTCACTCAAACAGGTTTCAGTATTTGCTATATGGACAAATCGTTATAGAACATGAACCAAGCAATAGGAAGCTCAGTAAATGTAGATGTAAAATATATAGGCTTAGTGTAAATACACAGGCCAAGCAAAGTTACATAGAACACAAACCCTTTTAAATACTAACTCCAGGCAATGCTGCCAGGTTATAGGGACAAATTTATATACATTCAAGTATGGACACTATGTGAAACAAACTTTCTGTATTTCCCTAGTACTTTATAAGGTGGAACTTTCCATAAAAGTAAACTAGTGAATTTAAATCATATGCCAAAAGAAAATGCACTTTCGCCTTCCAAATACTGTACTGTAGAGGCACTTTTTTTTGCTTTCTTTCTCTGGGAACAATGGGGCAGGTCTTTATTAGAACTTAGACTAATACAGCAAACATTTCCAGTCTCAAACCAAGCTGCTACTACTAGAAGCACCTCTAGAAAACAAACTATATAGTGTTCAAAATGTCAAATCCTCACTTCACTTCAGTGAAGAGCATACTTGTATGAAGCACTAGGATGTCACTGTGGTCTCCAGAAAGGCTCGTGTATAACTCTAACACATGTCTGCACATTCTCCAAAGTTTGGACAGAAATGCCCTGCTAGCTTACAGGGTTTGTTTTGGAGCTTTCCTAACATCCATGGAGCTGGGCTGATGGCCACGAGTCATTTTTCTGACCAACACCTCTGATGAGAGCAACAGACTATGGACAAAAGTCTCCATGCAGCTCCCATTTCCTACTGCCTTCCACTTTCCTAGTATTTAACAACAACCTCTTCCTCAATGTGATTATCACTATTTTTCCACTTGTACTTCAGTTCTACATAACTTCACTCAGCATAGACATAAATACCTTTTAAGGGTGATCAGGATGCCTGAGCACTAACAAATGAAAATATTAAACATTTTTAGTCAGCCAGGTTCAACAAAATTACTATGCTGATTATTCATGCTGTTTTTATCTCGTCAAACTAAGTTATCAATCAAACAGTTCACTTGACTTAGCTATGTACCACTGTGGCTAGCACTTCTCACATAATCTATAAAGTTACAGCAATGTGCTGTGGATAGTTACAGGCACTGCTCCCCACCCCACAAAAGCTTGCCTTTTCCATCTAGCAATTAGAACCCTTCCATGAAGAAAATCTTAAATGTAAAAATTCAAGTTTTAAGATTTTTAAGTTTGCAAATTGTACAATTAAAAGTAGGGGATGGGTAGAGAAAGAACAGTAGTACAACTGGCTTTATGACAGCATTTAACACAGAAAATAAACCCAACACCAAATTTAGAGCTAGTACTAGTCCTACTCTAAGTAAACCAGCTCCCCTCTTCGCCCTACTTCTTCTGGTAGGTCAGGCTACCTGGAACTCGCTATCAGCTGGGCCTACAGCAATTCTCTCTCCTACAGTGCAGATTATAGGTCTGAGTCACCGCACCTGGCTAGCCACTAGCCCAACTTGGTCTTCAATTCCTGTTCCTCCTGCCCCTTTCAAGAGGGACTGACTG